TATTACTTAAAATACAGTACTACAGTAATTATAATCATCATTCTTTCCTCATACAAAAACTATTTGTTCCATCAAATGGTTCAGAAAATTGTTAAATTTTAAATTACATTTTGAAAATACAAAAGGGGATAATAGAGGGCCACCACTGGTATACACCAGCCTCTTGCACTTTGGTGGTGTACAGTGAGAAATTCAATCAATCAAGTGCCTAGGGCTAGTAGGTAGGCCCTCTCTGGCGTCATGCTATTCNCGTGTAAATTTGTTATCTGCTACGCTGTCGTTGGCCCTCTTTCTTGTTAATGTTACAGTAGTGTTATCCGATTAGCTAGCCTACCCTAGGCTAGATACCTAGCTACTTTAGACGGCCTATGCCTCGTACGTAGTAGTCTGGGACCCGGTGTTCCCTACATGCTAGCCTTCCTAACGTAATATATACAGTATACGATGTATCGAGGCCCCTAATTCCTATCGTTATTAATATTCTGTCTTAAATACACGAAATATACTTATCTTGGATTGTGATAAAATATAGGTTGAAGACTGACGACATTATGCAGCTGCTACTGTCGAAAAAAACCCTGTTGTTCTCAGCAACAACTGCATTGAAAACTAAACTCCGCATTGCACCTCTAAACTTCGCGGTACCCCCAACTTCGCAAATGCCACCCCAGTAATGGCGCCGACAATAGAGGGCGACACTCAAAAATGTTCTTTTGGATAGGTCTATATGTTTTAAAGAAATTTTAAAAGAAATTCTAGGCACATAATTAGAAAAATAGTTTTGTCATGGCAGATGCAAGTTGTTGTTACAGTTACCTTTGATACTTGTGAAACTACACTGAATTGTAGAGCGGTGCTTGCCAAGTCTTCAAGACGTTGCCGGGATACAGCTGATATAAAATTAAGATAGTATGTCTCGTAGAGTTGATTTTGGAAATCCTGGTAGAAAAAACACAATTTAATAATATTTTAATAATAGCAATAGACAATATGAGTTCTATAATACCAATATGATTAACTGTGTTGTACACATTGATGAATGAAACATTTTGTACCTTGTATCTTATTCAGAACACTTACAGACACTTCAGAAGTACTTACTACTAAAGTTAAAAATATGATTGATCCAAGAGAGTGATAGATTGCATGGAGACACTGTGTTCAGACAAGGCTTCTAAAAGTTTGAAAGTTTGAATCAAGATCAATCTGACTTGTTGAAATAGATAAGTTTAGTAGCGCAAAATGAATCAAATCATGGTGCTTATTTAAATAGTGGTGCTTAAGAGAAAAACCTGACGTTTGTTGCAGCACTTATTGCCCAACAGCACTTATTCAATAAAGCAGAGCTGAGTTGAATAGATGGGCAGTTAAGATGTTTGCCTTGTTGGGTTCAATTTCAGTCAATGTTAAAAGACTCCACTCCCTAAGCCTCACAATGAGACTTAGTTTATGTAGAAAATCTTGCTTATATGTTTGTCTTATGAGAAGGAAGGTGATACATTTTGCTATTAGCAATCTGATACTTACTTGACAAATTCTTGTGACATTTTCTTCAGACGGCATGACAAAGTAAACGGCTGGAACATCAGGTAATGAACCACGGTCAGAATGTAGTAGTCTAAACAAAAACAAAAGAGAGGTCTCATAATATAACAATATTGATTATGGTATTGCTAATAGTAATACACTTGAAAAGTGCAAAATACAGTAATTAAGTCTTGAGAAGTTGGCTCCTAAGCTTTGGAGCAGCTGCTACATAGATAGATGATCTCCACATGAGCAATATGACCTGAGTGGTAGATGTAGATGAGATATACCTTATTATATTCTAAGCATCTATTCCCCTGAAAAATAGTACTTTTTGCCCTGTTGCATGTGCAAACTCTAGACCCACTTAACATTGCACTGACGGTAAAAGGGACTTTGACCTCTAAAACGAAACAGATTGGACCCTTACTGGGCCATGCAGTGGATTATCCAAGGGGTGGGGGTGCACGCCCCCCTCCCCCACAAAAAGCTATACATTTCACCATTCCCCTCATATTATTGTAATATGTGCTCATTATAAATTATTAAGTTCGGAACATTTAAATTTGTAATACAAGTGAATTATAATACTCACAAATGAAGGGTTACTCCCATGTCTCTAAGTTCACGAACAGACAGAAGTGGAGAAATGATATCTTGGCCGAATCGATCATATATAAGAACCTAGAAATTATAAAGGTGAAAAATCAAATTATATAAATGTATAATACTGAATATGGACAGAACTAATGTACTGCTGAAAATATTTATGAATTTTTGGTTTACTTTTATTCATTAACATTATTATCCTGTCTCTTATACACATCTAGATGTGTATAAGAGACAGGCACTGTACCAAAGGTCACAAACAAGG